ATAAAATAATTTGCTGTGTAAGCAAAAGCCAAAGAGAAAATACACAACTCAGCTTAAGCTCTTAAGTTATCAGAATGTTATTTTAGTATAAATAGAATCACATTTGTATTTGATCCCTTTGACTTCATTAAAGAGAAATATCCATTATTTGAATCAAATATGTAGTCACAATGATCATTGTATTTTAGTTTTTCATATTAAAAAGCAATAATCGTTATACATTTATTGTGTTTAATTTTGTCACAATGCATAAATCTTCCATTGCAACTGAAACCAAGTTATATTTTTTTTTATATATAACAGAAATGATAATTATCTTTGACTAAAAGAAAAATATTTTTTCATTTGATTACCATCTCTACAGGAGTCACATATTCTATTAGTTTATGATAAAGATTTATATTTACTATAGCTGATAGGATTAGTTAATAGTCAAAGCTTTAGGATGCTTGCCTTGTGAACATTAGAAATTATCTAAGATGCAGTCTAATTTTGTTTATGTATTACAGCATTGAGAGAGAGGAGGCATAAACAAATTTTAGTTTGTAAGATATCTATTATGAAATTATTTATAGAATAAAGAAGTAGTTATAAACTGTAGTGGTGATAGAAGGGATTATATCTTCAAAGCATTTCAGCATTAACACAAAAGGACCTCTCTCTCTCATATATTCAAATTCCAATAATAAATCCTTAAATGTTAACATAAAGACAGCCATTGAGATGGAAGTAGCTTTTTCTTATTCTCAAAAAAGAGGACAATTTTACAAGTTGTAAATCATTTTTGATCACACCTTAAAGTCTTCTACAAAGTGAAGAAAACTGATCTATAAGAAATTATGTCAGAAATGGCTTCTAGTCTCAAAATTAAGCATTTATTCACACTTAAAACTATAAACTTAGTTGGGTAGAAATAGTTTCAGGTATCAATAACAAAATTAACAGCTGAAAATCCTTAATACTGAAAATTGCTTCAGAAATCAATTGACTTCAGTTTTTATAAAAACAATTAAGATAACCCGTCTACAAATATTCTTTCAGCTAGAAATGGTTTCTAGCAGCAACATTGAATCTTTCATAAATAAAATATATACAAGGTGGTGTTGAAAATTGTCTGACTCACTTCTCAAAATCAGCATACTGATGTTTGTTTCTGAAATAATTTTTCAGCACCTCCTTGTAGATGATCACTGTAAAAATTTCCTAGAACTCCAAAATAGCTTCTTGTTTCAATATTAGATTCCCACCCCAAAGCTGAAAACAGTAACTCCAACATTTGATCTTGAAATTCTTCACAAAGTTCTTTATAAGTTTGTATGAACTAAGTAAATTTCTATTTAAAATCTATTTATTACTTTATAAAATTGTATTGCAATCTATACAAAACCAATTGCTAAATGAAACAAGGTAATTTCTATTGGTTTTGCAAATATAATTAAAGTTAAAAAAAAGTTTATGTAACATTATAGATGTCCAAGTTTGTTCCAGAGAGATAAAGTGCTATTTCTGAACTGTAAATAATGGGGATAATAAAATATAAGTAAATCTTTTAAAAAAGTATTTACCGTTGAGTACAAATAAATCAATGATATAAATATTCTATTTAAGATTAGGTAAGGCACTTAATCTGATGAAGACAAAATAAACCAGCAGATAAAATAAGCATTTGGAGTGATTGAACCTCAGATTATTTGGCAGAGTGCAATGTCAAAACATTTTTATTTTCAGTACTTAAAAATATGAACATAATTTATTTTACATAAAATTAGTTTGTTTTCTTTTTACTTCTTTGCTCTTAACTACTGGGTTGGCTCCATTCTAACATTTTTTTATGTTTTTACCTCATTCTATTTTGATTTATATTACCACAAAAGAGCTTTATTTCTCATTATATTTTAAATTATTTTTAACGTATCAGATTGTTCTGTAAATTATTTTTCCTCAAAAAGCTTGAGAAGAAATTTGAATAGTTATATTATTTCATAGATTATTTTATTTGTATTCACCGTTTTGACTGATGTATACACAAGCACATTTGAGAAAAAAAAGTCAACAGAATTATTGTAAATTTGATTCAGAATAAGAATAGTATAAAACTTTCAAAAAGGATTCAAAAATAATTTTTATAAAAACGTAAAAGAATAACCTATTATAATATTTTTAATGGCACTAACAAATGTTTATCAAGTATAATTACTATTTGGATAATTATTTAATTACTTTTTATTTATATTTCTCAAAAATATTTTTGGGTTTTTCAAAATGAAACATTGCTTGTTTGATCTGTTTTATTTAAATTTTTAAATGTTCAAAACAAAAAGTCAAAACATATCTATAGTTGCTTTATTAAAAAATATATGTCCTCTTTTTTTTTTTTTATTATTCTATTTGCTTATGTCTAAAATAAGTCATTTTGTAGAGCATGAGGGAAAAATGGTGCAACAATAGAAGATGGTAACTTGTATAAAGATTTTTAGCTCTTAGGCTGCACTTTATCAATATGCTAAATCCAGAAATTAAAAATTTGTCAACCATGATCGGGAAAAACACAAAAATGCACAACATCATTTGCAAAGAGAATTCATTAAAGATCACGTCTTTCAAATCAAAACTTACAAAGTAGAATACAAGTCAAAATGAATTGCAGTTAGCAGATAGTAAGAAATAGAAAAGAATTTGAGTAAGATGTTTTTTTAAGTCAGCAAATTATAATCATCTTGCAAAAAATCAATATAGAAAAAGAATTTGAAAAAAAAAATTGTTTTAAAACCGTTTAACATTATTGTGGCAGTGATATAGCTTGATTTAGAATACAACCACCTAAAAGTTACTATAAAATAAACATTTATATTTACAAGAAAATATTTTAAAATCTTAAGTGATGTAGTCAACAGCCGAATAGTTAAGTATTTAAAAAAATAAATTGGTAATATATAAGAATATTCTTATATTTTCAAGAAAATTGGCAATCTTCAATGAAGGATATTAATCTTCTATCAATCATATCAATAGTATGGTAGTATTCAGTGAGACTGAGTCTGTCATGACCTAGTCAGTTTATAACAATTTCTACATTTGTATAATTGTGTGTATATATATATATATATATATATGAAAAGAAAGAACAGTAAGATATATAATCTAGTGTTCTTATAGATATTTTTATTTTTACAAAATAGTGCTCAATGTAAATTTACAGAGCATTAATATTATAAATTAAGTGATAAATCAATTAATTTATATATATATATATATATATATATATATATATATATATATATATGTGTGTGTGTGTGCGTGAGCATGCATGCACAGAAATTAATCAGTGCCTATATAGGTGATTTTAGATGATGGTACATTTACATTTATCTACCCTAAATAGGCTAATGACAATATAAACAACTTAACATTTTTTTTTATTAGATTGTTTAATTGAATATCTGTAGTCTAATGGACAAGTTATAGAAATTGCCTGATGAAAATGATAAAATAGCAGAAGGTTTAAGGTTCACTGAAATCATGTATGTTCTTCCACAATAACTGACATGCCATTCTTTTAGAATATGCCATTCCAACCATGGTATTGTGGCTAACCAACATTTAATTAATGCTTGCTACACATGAAACACAATAGTAATAATTGCATAAGATGCCAAAACATTAAAAATCAAGTGAAAAACTGCTGAGACCAATTAAGTAAAAATAAAATAAAATGGCAATAATATTGAGACTTTGCTATTCTGAAATATATCCTGATACATAATGGTTATTGTTTTTATTAATAATTTTATGATGAAAAATTATAAGGTTGGTATCAAATTAAATAGTATATGAGTGAACTTAACTTTCATAAACAAGCTTAACAATGAAAATCAAGGTTTTTATATAAACAATTTCATAATCTAGAAGATTCATCACAAGTTAAGGAACATTTAATTTTTAATTTTCTGTTTACAACACAATTTGGAATTGAAAACTAAAAAACAGTAATCTTGATTAAATTCAGATAATCTGTTGTCAGATGAAATAATGTATACAGTGTAAAAGTAGCTTTTCATCATCTATGGGTGCACCATTTCAATCTCATGACAAAACATTTCTTAAATCTGTGATATAGCTTTTAGTCTATATTTTAAGATACAAAAAAAAGAGAATAGAAAATGAATATTACAAAGATTTAGCAGTTAGTATGAAACTTATATCACCACAAGCATCTCAATAAAAGCCACAAAAATTATTAATAAATTTATAAGGTTTTTAAATAGATAATAGAGCAATTTTGAAGAAATAAATATCTAGGTGATTTAATAAAAATTACTTTTTCCATATTTTTTTTTATTGTAAAAAGGGACAATATATCAGTTCAGTGTAGAAATGTATTAAATCTTTTTCCCAAAGTAGATAAAGCCAAGTATAAATGGAAAATGAAATTTTGAAAATGCAAAACAAAATCAAAATGATTAAAATAGGTGTCTTTTTTTTTGGGGGGGGGGTCATATTGTTTATATATAGAAAAAGAAAAAAATATTTTGTCCAACTACACAAAAGGACAAAATGTTTTTCTTTTTTTTATCTTAATGGTAGCAAAGTGAAATAAGAGGAATCTGATGAAAAAAAAAAAAACGAAAATCTAAAATCCCAAAAGTATCACTATGTTATCAGCCCAAATGCATTCAATCTGGTCCAAATACATGTTCCTTCTTTATCAAACATTCTTAAAGAATATTTTTTGAAATCCCATAAAATTACATTATTTCATTTATAGCAACAAAGAAAGAACATAAAATGATCCACTGGGAACAATAATGTCTTTTAGTTGTTGGTGCAGCAGTCAGCTAGTTGCTAAGGTAGTCCTTTTTATAAATAGCTGTAGACATGATAAGCAACAAACCATGTGGAATATTTCAGCATCGTGTTGCAAGCCATTTCCCAGACATGAAGATTGGGGCCCCATTCTGACAGATCAACTGCTTATCATATCTATTTTAAATTGATTTTGTTTATAACATATGATAAGCATGATAGGCTGCATACCAAATTTCACCAGAATGTTTCAGTGTTCTGCAACAGAAAGAAAAATCAATAATAAATAATTTCTATATATAATTTTGAAAGAAAAAGTAAAACAAAAAAAAACAAAATAAAAAAATTTAGACAGAAAAAGAAAGTCCAAATTATACAAAGGTATATATATATATATATATATATATATATATATATATATGTGTGCGTGTGTATGCATGCATGTTTATCTATAAAATACATCTCAAACAGTCAAAATGTGAAAAGAAACTAACAACACTAAAACAAAACTCATGAATACTCAAATGTGTGTGTGTGTGTGTGTGTATGTATGTATGCATGCATGCATGTTTATCTATAAAATACATCTCAAACAGTCAAAATGTGAAAAGAAACTAACAACACCAAAACAAAACTCCCTTGAAAATGACTAACAAAGTGGCTGAAAGTGCTTGGGACAATGGAGGGTATGGACAGTTTTTGTACTTCCTCACTCACACCAAACAGAAAAATGTAAGGATGTTGGAAAAACTAAATAGTGTGTGTGTGAGTGAAAGGAGAGAGAATCTATTCTAAGGTACACAATGTCTTATGAAACTAAACATTATTACATTTAGATATTTTTGCCTGAATTTTGGGGATAAGCAGTTATTATTTACACTATTTATGTTTGGACTATTGTCCACATTTTTGTTGTTTTTATCAATTCCTTGCAGTTGTAGCAGAGGTGAAACAAGCCACCCACTAAAAGTAAGGCTGGAGGAACATTGATAAGTCATAGTGAGAGGTGAGATGAAGAAATTGGGCATAGCTGATCATGTATGGAAGGAAAGACATAGTTATTGGACTCTGTGGAATGAAGTGAAAATACTGGACAGGGAAGAACACTGGAGAGTTAGACATCTAAAAGAATCAGTACATATGCTAGGCTATGATGACCTTTGTAGGCCTAGCATAGAAATAAATACAATATGGGAGCCACTAAGAAAGAAAGACAAATGACAGCAGCAGTAATCAAAAACATGGGCAGCAACAACAGTCAAAAAACATGGCAGCCAGCAGCAGCAATGGTAGTGACAGTGGCAGCCTAATCAGCAGTGAAAGTTAAGTTTAAAGCTCTAAGTTTACTCCAGCAATTGTCCTAAATGGTTTAGTGGTTAAAAGTATTGGTTTGTAAATTTGGTGATAAATTTGATTGTGGGTTCAGTCCCTGGTGTACTTGGTGTTAGTGTGTACTTGCACTCAGTGGAAACAAGCGTGAACTAAACGATATCTTTAGACACGAGCAGTGGAATGAGAACAGTCTACTCTTATAGATTAAATAAAGGGCTCAGTTTGAAATTCCCTGTAGATTACTCAGATTAACATACACCATAAGAAGGCCAGAAGGTACAATGACTGAAACATTGATAAAAACAACAAAAATGACCACAATAGTGTATAAAAACTTAATTATAAACAGCTTTAAAAAAATAAAAAAAATATGACAGCATAACTTACTTGACAACATCAACAAATGCTCTCCAAAGTGGCTTCACCTGATACTTTATACCATGTTTTTCACATAAGGATTTCACAAGAGGAGCAATTTTGTAGAGATTATGTCTTGGCATTGTTGGGAACAAGCTGATGGGAAAAAAAAAAGCAAGTGGATGAATTTTTTTAATGTAACATACAAGAAATTGAAAACATTACTTTTCTTCAATTAGTTATTAATACGATTTTTTTCAGCTGTTGATGGTTGAAATCGTTCTAAATTCACAGTTACTACTATAATGTGCTCTCATGTTTAGGCTAATTTGTTTGAGCAGGAACTCTGAAATCATAGGCTGATTTCAGAGTTCTGATTAAACTCTGCTTAAAGAATCAGCCCAAACAATCTTTAACATCATTTTGACTGTCTTGTTTTATCTATATGCAATACTAGAAGTCTATGATTGTGTGCATACTTGTGTGGTGTGTCTCTCTGGTGCATAATGACTTACAAGTTGTTTATATAGTAAGTATTTTTATCTTAACTCTTCAAACAGACAATTTTTTTAATTAAAATATTTTTAAGTTAAAGACAGACACAAAGAGATCCCACTTTGCTGTTTCATCCGGTTGTTTGTAGAGTAATTATTTATATTTCAGTTTTCTTTAAACAAACAATATTTTAAATATTTTTTAAATATTTTTTGGCATATTTAAAAAATATTTTCAAGTAAATATGATTTAAAAATATTTTAAGTGAATAAGATTTAAAAATATGAGTTGTTTATACAGTAGGTATTTTTATTTCAACTGTCTTCAAAACAGAAATTTTTTTAATGTTGAAATCAACTTCAATGTTTTATAACCTGAACCATCAGTGATCCAATTGGTCATAGGTAATCTAGTACTTTTAAAAAGTTATTGGCAAATATGTTGCAAGTCTTGTGTTGCTTGATATTACAAATGAGAATTGAAAATTGCAAACATGATAGCACCTATGATGAGAAAATGTTCAGAATAAATAGCATTTTTATTCTTACATCTAATTGATCTACATTTGAAATTTATTCTTGTTTTTTTATTTATATTCCATTTCTAACCAGTTGCAAGTCATAGACTAAAAATAAAATGTTCAGTCAGAATCAAACAAATGTAAACTAAAAATTCAAATCACAGACAAAACTGTATGTATATAATGGATTCTTTCTTAAACCTTTATAATTTATTAATTTATGTTTTCTATTCTGTTCTTTTTTGATGTGATTTAATAGTATTAGTAATAAAACTGGATTTTGCTCACTTTTTTTTTTAAAACTTATCTCTGTATTCATTTCCTTTGGTAGTGTTTTGACAAGCACTTACAGGTACACACAATACATGTATACAGCATGAAACATGTTTATTTTAAGCAATTAAACCAACCCCAATTACTATATAATTGGTAAACCAAGAATTGCTTTTTAAACATTTAGAAAGATTTTTCTAAAGGAAAATTAAAAGTTCTTGTTTCTGTTATGAGAATGATTTGAGCAACAAAAAATACTTACTGATGTTCGATTTGAAAGTTAAGATGTCCAGTGAACCAATCATTGAAGAAAGACTTTTCAATGTCACAAGTTGCACGAAGTTGCAAGGGAAGCCATGGCTGGGCTGAATCATGCTCTACATCCATTGGGATATGATTTGACTGGCTAACCCACGTAAACCAGTGGCTCTCAACACATCTACATAAACAGAATAATCGTATGTATTTTTAGAGATATTTTCAGTCTATATATTATTTTTTTTTATGCTTTTTTTCTTCAAATCCCTTTAAAAATTGGATTCATATTATTGTCTCAGTGAAACTGATCATATTTATATTTCATGTTTTCACTAATCTAACCTTAAAGCATGTTTAAGTTTTCTCTTATACTCACAATAATGTACATTATAAAATATATGAAAAGTAAACACTTAATAAATAAGTTACTGTGGTCATGTACCTTTAACAACAATGATACAAAGATTGTTCTGGCCCATGAGTCAATAATTTGTATGTTGCACTTATTAACAAGGTTACCAAGCTTTTATGATTAAATTAGAAAATATAAACAATAATCACACATTTAGGTCTCTGCTATTATTGAGTTGGCCAAAAAGTTCGCTTTTGTTGTTTAATGGTATTATGAGTATTTCATTCACTGAAAATATCATTTTTGATTATGACAACTCTCATTGTCAAAATTGGCATCTTATGTTTTGTTTGAAGATTGAGAAAAATAAACAATTTTGTGTATTTTAAGAAAAGTAAACATACAACACATATACAAAGTAAATGTGTGTGAATTATGGAGAAGGTTTGTTAAAATGATTTTCTGCTTTCAGGCTCAACAATCAGATAGACTGTGAATCAAATGAATACATAACTTGAGAATAATCAAATATAACATAAGAGAGAGCCATACTTAAAATATCCAAATTAATCACTGAAAATTATTTACATTAGGCTGGTTATGCCAGTTGCTTTAATATGTAATTTTCTTACAAGTGAAAAAAAATTCTACTCAACATTTTCTTTTTAGTTTTTTTTTTTTCCAACAATGTAGAATGCAATAGAGCTGGATGGGAGAAGAGGATTCATACCTTTCCTAAGGGTATTAGCACATAAATAACTAGCTACTAAAACTAATTGTAACAATGCTATTTTAGATATTTTAGATAAAGGTTAAATATCCAATATGAAAAATTATAAATGCACCAAAATTCAAGAATCAGCCTAAGTTGAATATAATTTAATTCAATACTAAATGGATGAACCCTAATCTACTGTGAGCAAACTAAAATTATTAATGATATTTAATCAAATAAATGCACAAATCAGATATAGAATTAAATAAAGAAATGATAGACAATGATATTTTACCTGACAATAAAATAATATGCCAATACACCCCAGACTCCTAAATATGGGGTATATAAATAAAAAAGTTTAATAAAGAAGGCAGCCATCCATGCCATGTCCTGGAAAAAAAATGTTTTCAGGAAATATTATAAAGTTTAATTTTTTTAAATTACTTGGCAGATAAAATTATAATCTAAAATTCCAAACAATTTTCTTTAAAAAAAAAAAAAAAAAAAAAAAAAAAAGAATACTTTATAGGAAAATGAAAAAAAACATTTTGAAATGTTGAACCATAATTAGAGATACTTTAGATGAAAAGAAGTAGTAAATTTCATTTTAACAAGATAAAAAAAAAAAAAAAAAAAAAAAAAAAAAATATAAATTTCCAAAAATAACAGACATTGGGGGTATTTTTTAAATTCATATTCTTGTTAAAGAGACTCCAGTATTTGTTAATAACCCAAATATTTTAGGTAATTATTTATGAGAAACATAAATAGATAAGAATATAGACAAATATAATAAAATAAATATAGACAGAATTATATTTTTATAAATACTTCCCATGTCTGATGGTATTAAAGTAGGAAAATTTTAGTTCACATGCTATTTTATGGATTAATAATAAATATATGTTACTTACAACCCAAGCTCGTCTTGACACAGCATAACGCACAAGAGCATATTGAAAGTAAACTGGGAACAAAAGTGGTGGACCAACTGAAATAAATAAATAATAGAAATCATTAATAAATTTATATAATTTGAAGGAGAAAATAGAATAAGCACCAGAATAACAAAATAAACATGAGGAAAAGTGTGAGGTTTTTTTTTGTTTTTCTTTGTGCAAAATATCTTGATATTTTGCAATCAAATAGATTCAGATATAAAAGCTGTTTCTACTGGCATCATCTGTCAGAAAAATTAGAAAATTGGCTAGTCATTATCTTTTTCTCATATCACAAGATTAAATATACATTGTCAATTTGAAACAATTTACTTTTTTATAAAATTATTTTGTACTATCATTTCACTAAAGAGAATTCAGGAATTGCATATTGATAAAATTAGCTTCTATTTAATCATTAAAAGAAGGCAAATTTTGGGCTGTTCCACTAAGATTCTTATGTTTTTGATATTTTTGTTCCTAATGAATCCTTTTAAATACAACACCAAGCTATTATAAAAATCGAGAAAAGTCATTTTTATGCTTTTCCAAAAGCATCTGTTTCATTACCTATTAATGTAACTGCTCTCTTGAAGAAAGCCAATGTTATTGAGTGGAATGGAAAGAAAACAGGAAACACTATCTCCTTTGAAGTCTGGTATCATTAAAAATACTACAAAATATTCTTACAACCCAACAACAATTTTCATATTCTACGCTCATAGACAATTTACTATAAAGAATCTGATCTGACATCATAGAAGAGAAAGTATTTTTAAATAAGGGCCCTATTGTGTTTCATGTTTGTTCAAAAAAGCAGTTCATTAAAAATACATATAATATTGATAACACTATGAAACAGGGAATGTTTTATTATATACATTTCAATATATATCTAGTAAAGACAAACTGTACAGCTTGTATGTTAAATGTTTTTTAAATCACATAGTCAAACTGGTAAATTTCAAGGAAGACTAAACAACTAGATAAATTAAGAATACCTGATGATCACTTATTTACTTTTGTAAGTAAAATTGGCAAGACTGATTGCTTTTAGCTAAAAGTAAATAATGATGAAATAAAAAAAAGATTGATGATAATCACTGCTTGAAAATTGGTTTTATCAGTGCATGGCAAATGCAGAAATATCATTTGTAGCATTGAATTCAAAAGCAAACATTTCAGTGAAATGTTCATGGTGCAAAATAAACAACAAACTCATGAAAATAGAAGAATACTTACGAATAAAGAAATATTTGTGCTGCCAGTTATATGGCATGCTTTTCTTATTCTTTTTAGCAACCTAAATATAGATAAAATGAATAAATAATAATGGAGAAAGTTTAGGATTTGACACAAATAATAATTCAAAGGAAATGCTAAGAGATTTCTGTGAGAGTTTTCCAATTTCTAGAATGTCATTGTAGCAAGTACCAAATATTTGTTAAAGTTTTATGTAATCTGATTTTTCAAAGTTCATGATGGTGAACTCAAATTTTATTATTTATCTCCCAATTCTACAAAAGTGGGATTGATTTGATAACTTCTAATTGAATTTGAAAAATTTTTAAGCAAATGAATGTTTGGTTACAAAAGATGATAAATGCATATTGGAAACCTAAATCTCTTTAATAACAATATAAATCCCAAAACTTTCTCAAATCTCATCTGTTATTCTCAGATATGCTATTCAGATGACACTATTTTTGTTGGTATTTTTGGGGATGAGCAATTATGATTATTATATGATTTGCTATTCTGACCAGTATGTCTATAATACTCACAATATTACAGCCATTGTACTCTCTGACCATCTTCAAGCATGTCTTCATACTTGATAATCTTGGAATTGTGAATCAAACCCTTTATTAAATTCAAGAGAATAGACTATTCTCATTTCACTTCCCATGCTTAGGTTATATTTCATATGAGTCACTTTTGTGTCACTTGTCTATTACTAAGAAATGGTTATAGAAATGTCACCACTAAAGCCAATGATGTGACTTAGATATGTAAATGACACTTTCATACATCTGGCGCCATCAAGAAGATGTGCAAATACTGCTGGATTATATGAAGTCAATCATACAGTTCACAATGAAAAAAGCAGTAGATCAACTGTCCTTCCTGGATGTACTAATCTCTTAAACAGAGTAATAGATTCAAGACATCCATATATTGTAAGCCAACATTCATTGGCCAACACCTGAACTTCAGTTATCATCCATAAAGTTTCAAGAAAGGAATTGTCTGCTGCCTAAAATGTTGGACCAAACTCATAATTAGTATCCTGCAGATGATCAGCATTAGAAACATTCTTCAGGGTAACAATTACACTGCAAACATAATATCAGCTTCCTTGAGCAGAAGAATCAAGGACAACAATAAAAAATCTGTCATGGTCTGTCTGCCATACATAAATGTTTGAAAGATTCAAACAATTTGCAGTCTGTACAACAGGATGGTATTCAAAATCAATTAAAACCTTTGAATCATATCAAGCTCCCTCTCCCTCAAGAAAAGCATGACCAAGAACCTTGCATATTGCATTCCATGCAGTTGTGGCAAGGAATACAAAAGAGAGATCAGCCATTCCCTAAAAATAAAGGTAGCATTGGAAAGATGTCTAGAAAGAGACGTCAAAATCCAATATTTCTGATTATAAGCATGGACAATTGGAATGAAGTCAAGATAAGGGACAAAAGAACAACACTGGAGGATGAAATAATGCACATGTTAAGCACTAACAACCTCCTCAGTAGACCTAGCGTAGAAATTAATGCCATCTGTAAGCTTCTGATTAAGAAAGAAAGGACACTCAAAAATAATTCCACCACCTGAAACCAGACAGTGATACAGTCTCACCACCTGAGTACAGACATTGTGTTGAATATTCCAGAATTCCACCACTAGGTTGTCCAAGAGACACATGGCCTAATGGTTAAACATGTCTAGTTTCCTGGCAGCATTGGTTAAACATGTCTAATTTCCTGGCAGTTTCAAGTGCAATCCAAGTATAACAGATACCTGAGGGCACAACAACTGAGAGTATAACAACTAAGATGAGCATGCTGGTATGAAGAGTAAAGCATATAATAATGACAGTTTCCCTGATGTAGATATTGATGTATATTGTTACCAACTTGTTTGAATTAAAATAAACAAAATATTTTTCTGTAATGTTTAATAATTCATTAATTTTATTTTAGAATTTACATAGAACTAATATAAAAAATTTAAATCCAGATTAACTTCATTAAGGTGTTTTGAAAGCTGGTGATGTCTCTTTTGAAGCTTGCAAGAACCACTCATGAACATTGACAGGTGTAGCATAGATATCTTATTTCAGACCATTTGCACTTCTTTATGCTTGCTAGTGATAATGGTTTCTTCTAGCAAGAAAATACATCCTCCCATTGTGTACAGATGACATGAAATTGGTTCCATGAATATACAGCTGGCTTCTAGATACTCCATTAGCCTATGAACTCACCAGGTTTAAAACCCATTGAACATGCATGGGTCATGTTGCAAACCTTACTAAATTGACCCAATAAGCAATTCAGTTATGGACAGCCCTGGAACTGCTTGAACAGATATACCCATAATCAAGGTCTTTGTTAACTCCATGTCACATTGCATAGCTATTATTCAGGTGAAGGGAGGAGCCAAACATTAGGTAGGTTTCTATTTTTTTTAAAATTTCAGCTTATATGAATGTCCACCCTTCTAGATATTATTGCTGTAATGCAGGTATCCCCCGGGGCTCTATCCTTGGACTTACATTGTTCCTAATTTTCAACAACAACGTTCCTGATATGATCCATTCTCAACTCTGTATCTATGTTGATGATAACTATTTATTCCTGCCTTAATAGTAAGTCTGATCAGCTTGATAAGGTCAAATTGGCAGCTAATCTCAAAAATAATCTACAATCTTTTAACTGGGGAAAGTAATGGCTTATTAATTTTAACACCTCCAAAACGAACTGAGAAACTTTTTTTCTATCAGCATATGGCAGATGCTAACCTCCAGGAGAGGGACTCATTGCAAATTCTCTGGCTAATATGTTCTGCTGACATGAAGTAGAAATCAGTTTCTATGTCTGCTCCTAGGAAAGTTGGTTCATTGTGTTGTGCTAAACAATTTTTCTTGCCAGAATCTATCTTACATATCTACCATTCCTTCATGCTTTGAATATTGCTGCCACATCTGGCCTGGTGCTTCTGCTGTATATTTAGAGATTCTAAATAAAATACAAAGAAGAATCTGTAATGTTATTAGTCCTGACCTGGCATCTCACCTTCAGTCACTTTCCCACCACAATAATGTAGCTTGCCTGTGCCTTTTCAATAAATGCTGAAATACTGTTCTAATGAACTTTCCTCTATGGTACCTAAACATTATAAATTTAAGCACAGTACTAGATTGGAAACAAGGTCACACCATTTTACAGTTGAAATGGCTAGATGAAACTGTACATTCCATGCTAATAGTATATTCTCTCAAATTTCTCACTTATGGAACTATTCTGGCTTCTTGCTTCCCAGTCAACTTTGATCTTCAAAAATTTAAAAGCAATGTCAATCATTATCTGTAGTTTGTAATTCCTGTTCTTTTATTGTACTCGCTCTGTGGCTTTATTGCCTTGCTTGGCGTGAAATCATTTTATATATATATTGTTAAATATAACAGACAGTGAATATCTATTATATCAGACTAATCAGACATAATAAATATTCATTGTCTGTTATATTTAACAATATATGTTTAAATAACAATCTACTGCCCCAATACAATATATATATATATATATATATATATATATATATATATATATATACACACACACACACACACACACACACAGGGTAGCTTTTCAAATCATTTTTTGCTAAGCAAAAATAAATAAAACACAATAACCTGATTTATGTCTTGTATGGCAATAATTTCATTTTCTCACCTACAATGTATTATTTGGACTTCATATAAGAGAAAGTAATGAAAGTCCTTATCTCTTTAGATATAGCCTGCCACAAAAGATTTTCTTCTCTTCCGAGATATGAATTTCCTGTGATCTTCAAGTCAACTGACTTATATTCTCTTTATTTTTGCATGGAATGTTATGCATTTTTTTGTCATTCACTTCTTCTGAAGATGTAGTTGTACAATTAAAAAAAAAAAAAAAAAACACACGCTATACAAATCATTTTTTTTGCTATCATTGTCTGGTTTGCACTATTAGAAAAAATTAAGAGAAACTTTCTCTTTCTTTATGGATTTTATATCTGAAGAAAGCTGTAGAATGGATCAGCCAAAACACTGTAGTAATGATAAAAGCAGCAACAAGAATGAGTTTAATTATCCAAACACCTCTTGCAATAATAATGAATTTCTAAATAAGGTAAAATATATTTATATAATTATTCATAAAAGACTAATTTCAATCATTTTTATTACATATTTCCTATAAATAATTATTTATTCCTTTGCAATATTACAGAAATTGTATCAGCTGAAAAACATTTTCTTTACATATTTTCTAAATTAAAAACTTATTAATTTATTAATTATTATTTATCTTAAGTCATTTCATTTTTCATTGGTTAAAATTTATAATATTCAAAGTGTTAACTTTGAATATTATAAATTTTAACCAATGAAAATTTTTCATAATTCCTAGTCAGTCCAATCTTGTTCACTCCTCAGTAATTAATTCATTAATTACTGACATCCAACTGTTCATGCTATTAAAAGTTTTTATAATGTATTCTAGAAACATGAAATTATGTAATAGTAATTTCATAATCAGAGTAATGGCAGTTATTTTATTCCTTAACTATGTTGACTTAAAATGCAATTAAAAACAGAAATGAATAAACAAAGAAATAAGTTCATATTTTACTCAAAATTTATTTTAACAATACTTTGTTTTTACATGGTATCCATCTTTAATTAGTTACTAGAATAGTTTATTGTATATACAAAAATATGAATAGTCTATGTCAGAAAATTGGAATTTTTAGATAATGAAAAACTGAATTTCAATTTTTTTAAAGTTCGTGTGAAAACCATTAAACTTTTACTGTAAAAAATATTAAAATTTCTTTAGTACTTTTGCCAGGACAGCTTCATGTATTCACAAATTACTTCAGATACATGAATCAAGCTAGTTTAGCATTTTTCTTACAAGTTATTCCTTTCAATGATTCCAAACTAAAAGAAATGTTTGTTTGCACACACTATTAACCAGAGACACAAGTCATTTTAAGCAAAGTTTAAGTTATTTTGATATTACATAATCTTGTTACACAGAGGTCATGTGACTAAACAGAATTTCTAATGCTTCAGTAAGGATTCCTATTTTATAGGATAATGAAGATATCAATGTTAAAAACTTACTATTTAATAGAAACTGAATGGTTTTCTATTACCTCGATCTTCTTTGATAGCAGTTTTAAAAGATTTTATATCCAGACTGATACAAAAACATCACCCATGCACTAAGTAACCAAAATATATGTTCCAATCATGAAGTAATTACAAAATTAAGCAAACTGATGCTTTGCAACTGATAAAAATAATATTCTGATAATTTTGAATATCTGATCAAAAGATTCTCATCAGATGAATGTTCTTCATTAATATCAAAAGAAAATATATTCATTGAAAATAGATGGCAAAGTTCACACAATATTTTTATAAAAAGTTTCTGAAAGCAAAATGATAAATCAGTCTAAATTTCTGCAAATTATATTTAACTTTAGTCATTTTTAGAAAGGTTAAAATAATGAGATGATCCTTTGTAAAATATTTTATTATGTGCCCAAACTATTGATGAACTTTTAATACTTAGCATGAATTTATTTATTAAGTGTGTGTGTGTGTGTGTGTGTGTGTGCACACAACTTGAATACCTTACATTATTAAAAGTTTTTGATAAATGTTTCTTTGTTTAGGTGAATAACCCTTATTATGACTGATACTTGATTGTTCTCTCATGACTGGCAAGACACAGGTAAAATGACAATTGAAAAAAGCACAAGGAAGTTATAATCAGAAAGTAGTAAAACTAAGTGAAATGCTCAATTAAATTTCAGCAATTAGAGCAAGCTGATATGCATGAAATTTATTTCATAGGAAAATATAAGACATGGAGAATGTGAACATTTCCCTGTAAAGAAAAACAGGGAAAAGGCGTATGTATATATGATTTGGGATCACTTTAACAAATAAAAAATAAAAAAAAAAAAGAAAAGAAAAGAAAAGAAAAGAGAAAAGAAAGAAAAAAGAGAAAAGAAAAGAAAAGAGAAAAGAAAAGAAAAGAGAAAAGAAAAGAAAAGAGAAAAGAAAAGAAAAGAAAAGAGAAAAGAAAAGAAAAGAGAAAAGAAAAGAAAAGAAAAGAAAGCCTATTGGTGATTGCTAAATCATTTAATAATTGCCACAGAATAATATTTACATATATTATGCAACAGAATTGTAAATGTTTAATAATACTGTATTCCAATTAAAAGCACCATATGAAAAGGGCATAATCTAATTATATTGTTACTAATAAAGCATTTACTAATAAGTATAATGTGATAAGTACAATAATATCCTTGTAAGATTAGTAAACTAAACATGAAAAAGAAAGGTTTGATGTAAAAAAAAAGAAAAAAAAAATGATCTGATGATTGTGAACAATTGTATTACATTATTCAAGATAGAAACCAAGACTGCTCACCTCAACAGGCATTATGTCTCCAATTACAAAGTATTTGTCTATACGTATATCAGGGTCTTTATCCAGCTGTTGAAAAATAAAAACAAACTCATAACAGCTACAATAATGATAATATTAATAATGGTAATAATATAGATCATAGCATTTCTTTTAGAATAAATTTCAGTTGCAGATTTTTAAAGAAATACATAGGTTTTATTTATTTCCTAACAATTATGTTGTAAGATTATACAAATGATAGTAATGACTACTCTTACTTTTGTTGGAAAATGAAAAAACAAAGAATCTAACAAAAATCATTTCTTCCTTATATTTTCTAACACTTTCTGTACAAAAAAAAAAAGAAAGTTATTTCCAGTTATCCCCCCCCAAGTTATTTTTAAAATTGTTTTTTGCTGTTAGTTTTCATAAATTTGATTTTAAAACCATGTCTATATAAATTAGACATCTGCAATTTTTCAGAAAACTTCAAAATTAGATCACGTAAATGATAACTCTTAGAAGAAAAAAAAATTATTTGTAATATAAACAAAGAGCAAATGCTGCTAATTTATGTTGGGATTTTTCAGATGAGGAATTATAATCATTATATGCTTTACTATTTGGACCAGCATACAGCACTTGGTTGCTAACATCACAATTTTGGCTATTGTACCTTTCAATTTTTTCAGGTGTCTTTGTACCCTTGGAAGCCCTTTATTCAATTGTTGATACAGCTGGTTGAACAGTAACAGCAACCAGATTCAAGTAGTAGAATTATTTGGGTGTCCTTGTTTTTTCCTTAATCACAGCCTTCCAGATGGTATTTTCTCTTTACAACATGTTGGCTGTGACTAAAATGTGTGCTGATTCTTTCAGAGTTGTTCTTTGTCCCTTATCTTGACTTCATTTCACAACAGCTGATGACCAAAGTTTTACTGACATATATAATTGCCCAAGATTTCAATGTCACTTTCTAGACAACATCTTTTTGATGTTTCTCTACCCTTACTTTTAGAGAAGGTCTTTTCTCTCCTTTGTATTTCTTGCCACAACTGCATGGGATGGAATACACAAGGTTCTTGTTCATGCTTGAAGGGGATACTTGATTTGAGTGATATATCTCCAAAGGTGTGAACATATTTGAAACCCTTGTTCAGCAGTGCTTCCTCAAAATATACTTAATTGACATTTGCTGATGTTGACAACTACTTTCACAAACTGATAGAGGATACTGTTGTAACTTATACCAAAGTCTTTCAACTGTTAAACTGTTTCTTTAATACAGAACCCCTCTTAAATTCATGCTTGATAGGACATATCCAGGTTGTGTTGAATTCTATTTCTTTCCATTTCTTATATTATTGTCTATGAATGGTTCCTCTGATTAGATAGTTTACTTTGAAATTGATGTTTTATCTAGTGGCTATGATTGATTTCTTCCTATGTCCTGCTCTTTCCATAAGAGTTTGTACCCTTTTGGACTGGATCAATGTTTAGATAGTTAAGCCAGTTGGAAATAGCTTCAGCTTTCCACAGGGGAATGTGAGACAGTTCCTTATTCAAGCCAGTTTTTGATTGAGTTTATCCAATCATTTCTATTGATGCATCACATTGGGTCTAGTTGAAAGATTATGGTATGAGACAACGATACTTGCCTGTAAAAGCAGTTGTCACTATTAGCAAATGCTAATTAAGTACTTCTGAAGAAGCAGTGCTGAACAAAGGTTACAAATTAGCAACTATTATCAAGTATCTCATACTTAAACACCATAACAACAATTGAGGAGGCAGCTTAATATAGACATGAGGTTTAGGACTCCAAAATTACACCACCAGATTGTCCAAAAGACAGATAACCTAGTGGATTAATGTATTGATTAAAACATACCTGGTTCCTGGTGAGTCTGGTAAAGTTAGTTCAGTGGAAGAAATAGTCAAGTAACACAAATGTGAACAAAACTGGTAAGTGATATGAAATTATATAATTGTTGATTGAATAAAGTGTTTGGTTCAAAGGTTACCAAGTATAGCAACAGACATCTGAAGTTGTACAACCTAAAACATTCCAAGTATAACAACCAACAACTGTCATTTCTAAAATATACTAAGTTTATCTGCAAGGAAACTGATGGCAATTCTAAAATAGAACTTGGTGAAGAGTTTTGAAAAGTGGAAGGGATGCTGGGAAAAGTGTGTGAGGTCCTAAATGAAGTACTTTAAAGGAGACTAACATGCCATTACTGTAGGTAGGTTACATATATTTTCTATAGCATGTAATGGCTTTCCCAGAATTCTCACTTTGGTCAAAAGTTGCCAATAAGAGAAACTTGCCAGTGTTAAAATGGGCAAATTCAATAACTTTTGAATGTATGTTTTTGTTTTAATTTAATATTTTTTCTCTTGATTTTCTGCAATGTTTTCTATTATTGCTTGAACATTTGTGTTTATATGTGCAGTATTTAGTGGAAAGTGCTCAATATCTGTGATAGAGAAAACATATGCAGTTACATGGAGGTTTGTGACCTTATGTTTCATGCTTTTGCAATCTTCAGACGAACTGGCTTATTTTTTTTTTTGTTTTTGAGCTGAAACCTGCGAACTGGTAGGCATTCTTATTCTTTCATACCTAGTCAGAATACAAGAAAAAAAAAAAAAAAATAGACATGAGCCTATACAGAGACGATGACCTAATCCTAATAAGAGAACCCAATGGCCCTAAAATGGATAAATCCAGAAAAAAGATAATAAATGCTCCAAAAATGATTAGATTCAAAATAGAAATAAAAACAAACACAAGACAGGTAAACTTCCTAGACGTCACCCTCAACCTGGATAAAGAAACTTACAAACCATACAAAAAGGATAATAACACTCCCACAAAGATACACACATCCTCCAACCACTCACTCTCATTATCAAGCACATACCTATATTCATTAGCCACAGGCTATCAGACAACTTATCCAACAGACATTTTCAATAACAAAAAAACACCATGTAATAACACACTAAAATGTATACACATAACAACTAGAATACACGCCACCACAAACAAAACAGAAAAAGATTTGTTTTAACCCACCATACAACAAAATCAGCAGAACATTTCTAAATCTAATAGAAAAACACTTCTCCATAACAAGCCCCCTAGCAAAAATATTTAACAAAATCAACATAAAAGTTAGCTACAACTGCACTAAGAACGTAACACAAATAATAAAGAAACCCCAATAATAAAACAACCTACAATAATGCAAACTAAGACCCCTAATGCATCTGCAGAGACAAAACCACATGCCCACCACAAGGAAACTGCCTACAAACATAGTATACAAAGCTAAGGTCAACACAAACAACACTACAATGCACTACATTGGCACCACAGAAGGAACATTCAAACAAAGAAAATACACACACACAACCTCTCATTCTCCAACAGAAAATATCAAATCATGAAATGAAGGTCATTCTGAACAGGATTGCTACCAGATCCTTTCACACGAACGTGGATGTCCCGCAAGGCTCTATTCTGGTTCCTACACTGTTTCTGATCTTCATCAATGATCTTCCTGATGTTATCAGTTCCCAAATAGGCATTTATACAGATGACACTACCATTTACTCCTGTCTCAATAGCAAATCTATCAGAGCTGCTCTTGAAAAGGACCTCCAATCAGTGCTTAACCAGGTCAGGAAATGGCTTGTAAATTTTAATGCCTCCAAAACTAAACTGATCTCATTTAACCACCATAGAGAAACTTCCCTGTCTGTCATCAGTATGGCTGATGCTCAACTCTAGGAAAGCATCTCACTCTATTCCTTCTTGATCTCAGGTTTATAACTGATTTGAGGTGGAACAGCTACATTGAATCAATAGCTGCATCTACTGCAAAGAAAGTTTTTTTCATTTTGTCATGCCAAAAGGTTTTTCTGCTCAAAGTCCATCTTGCACATTTACAAATCTACCATTCATCCGTGCATTGAATACTGTTGCCATACTGTTTCTATATGTGGTCTGATCATCTCAAGGTTCTTGACAAAATCCAAAGAGGGATCTGCAATATAATTGATCTTGACTTGGCATCTCAATTTCAGTCATTTTCTCACAGACATAATTTGGCTTCCCTCTGTCTTTTCTACAAATATTTTCATGTCAACTGCTCTCCTAGTGCTCCAACTACATGAATTTAAACATGCTACTAGATTGGCATCTAGGTCCCACCCTTTTATTGTTGAATTAGCTAAATGTAACCACCACTTCTACTTCAACAGTTTCTTTTCTAACACTTCCTATTCCATTTACTTGCTTTCCTGATAACTACAATCTTCAAAAATTTAAATGCAATGTTAATCGCCATCTTGTTATCTTGTACCCTTCTCATCTTTTATCCTTTCCTCAAACCCCATTTTCTCTCATTTTCACTCTCTGTAACCCCCAGTGTACTAATGGCACTCCCACCTTGCTTGCAGTGAAATGAAGAAAAAAAAAAAAAAAAAGGGTTATTTTTGGACCGATATACTAATAAGTAAATAAAGATTATTTTTATCAATAGTAAAGAAATGATTTAAATTTTTTAATTTTAAATAACTTTTAACTCTCTTAACTCAGCATGTTATAAATAGTGTACTACCATGTGGAAGATCCTTGTTTGATACTTTTGCTATAGATTGATTGTTATATTCTCATGTTTCATTGGAAATAGAGAAGGCATGTTGAGGTTTACTGCAAAATAGGCTCATTGTACTTCTCTTATTTATTCATTTCTGTATTAAATATAAAATAAATGCAAACATAAAAAAATAATTTGAAAGGAATTTAGTTAAGTAAACAAATATCTTTGATGTAAATACATCATTGATTAATTTGTTTTTATGGCCTAGCAATCTTTTGTAGATTATTTAAAGCCAGAAAATATTTTTACATTGTAAGAATATTTTTGAAATAATAATGACCTACTGATACAATTCCTATTAATGCATATCTGGGGGGAGAAGAGGTGACTTCTTACCTTTCTTAAAGGTATTTTGCATGTAAGTGAACATAAACCCAACTAGAATTGGAATTTCAAGCTGTTTTGATACATTTTAAATGACAGTGAAAAAAGTTAAAACAAATATAATTTAGCACAACCCTACAGTTTAATTTAAATAATCTCAAACACAAATAAAAATTTTGAGGTACAAACCACATTTGGCTTGGCATGATGTTGATAATGCATATGACTCCACCATGATGGTGAGGCACCCTAACAAAATAAAAAAAAAAATAGAAATTAGCAAATTACAATAAGATCAAGATTTTTTTTCAATATTTAATAAAAAATCTGTAGCAGCATAAAGTTTCAAGGGAGGATATAAATGATAGTCTGTTTCAATTTTGGCTAAAGGCATTTTTAAATGTGCAATAATAATAATTTTGGGTAATTTCCACAGTGTCTGTTATTCTAAAGTGATTACATTTATTAGTGAGCAGATAAAATTGAGCTATCAAACTTGGATCTTTGCACCAATATTTCCAATAGAGGGAACATGTCTGTCTTGAAAATCTGCTTTCAAAATTGTTTCATTAACTTATAATTTATTTTAATGCACCTCATTTTTAAAATTTAGTTAAATAATTTTTTTAAATTCAAGAATAAAGAGAAGACAGCATAATCCCTAAAAAGTGCTAAGAAAAAGTTAGTAACTAAAAAATGATAAAATCATTTCCTTTGGTCAACATCAACTTTGATTTAAACTAAAATTATTTCATCAGAAGTGAGGCTGCACATTTAAGAACAGAACATATATTGGATAAAAAGTTCTAGATAGATTATAAATGCCATTAAATTAGATGATGCCTTCAGAGAAATAATAAAGATTTATTTAGAAATTTGAGTAAGAATGTCCCATCCTAGAGCCTAACAGACCAATGAGCTGACTGTACACAGACTAATGCGCCAAGGAACTATTGTGCTTTATGTGTTTCCAAATAGACTTGAGCAAGTTTATTTGGAAATAAATGCATGCATTCCCAGGATTACAATTATTCAGCATACGTACTATAAACTATAAAGAAATGTATAATTTCTTATGTTTACACTCCAACACTCCCATGTAAACTTTTACTGAGTGCATTCTAACACTCCAACCAGTAATATTATGACAATCTTTATCAAAATGCAGATTATATTGTCCCTTGACATTTTTGTTCAGTTTATTTGTAAAAATCCAATGACTTCAACTACTATTTAACTTTCTCATAAAGGAGACAAATTTGTAGGTATTCTCAATAACATAACCTTCAAGATAACTAGGTTTACCATGATTCCCACTTGGATATTGATTGGTGCAGCTTTTCTCAAAAGAGTTTTTGCTATACTCATATTTGGTACTCATTCAGATGCATATAACACTCTGGCAGTTGTCCTTTTCCTAGACTGGTTGCCAGTCAGTGCTAGAAAACTCGCTATGCCATAGCTTGGAAGAGAAAAGATGGATTTATATCCCATCCTAAAGGCATATGATGTGAAATGAATGCAATCAATCACAGCTAGAATTCAAACTTTGTTTACCAGTACAAATTTCTGTGCTGATAAATGCTAGATTACTCCATGTATCTTCATGTAATTGACAGATGAGCAGGAGGAGTAACATTGATTACTAACAAGAGAGCTTTGCTGGAAAGAAAAATTCTAGCACTAATTTGAAGTGAGTTGTGGTAATTCACTTTTTAAGGGAATTGCAGACAGTACATGAAACATAGTATCAATGAATGAAACTGAACCAATTAATAAACTCTGCCAGCACCATGATACTGTAACAGCAGAAAGGTAGCAATGAGCATGGTTAATGAAATAGAGATTAGTTTGTAAGAGCACACCAGCAAATAGCAAAAAAAAACCCAAAAAAACAAACCAGGAATTAACATATACTAGCTGATTGACTGATCTGTACTCCCCCAGTTTTTTGAACAGGAGTAGAGATTTATCCTTCGTTTTCTGTTTAGGATTGGATTTCTGGTTCCTTCTAAAGTCTATTTTATACTTCTAACATCTCCAAATAAAATTCTGAACCTTTATTTACTATTTATTTACATTTTTTCCTCAATAGGAGTAGATAGGTTAACCTATCATCTGGTTCACACTCCTCCCTGGTCTTTTGAACAGGAGTAGAGGGTTATCATTTGTTTCCTGTTTAGGATTGGATTTCTGGTTCCTTCTAAAGTCTTTTTCTTCTCTTTCACTTCTGGTAGCTCCTTGCAAGTTGGTGCATGTTACTCTGTAACCCTGTACCTTGAGTGGCTCTTGGGCCGTGTACAGGGTGAACATCATTGAAAAAAAAATTATCTATGAGATTATGATCTAAAAAGAAAAAATATATACTCTCAGTAAAAATCTGAGTAGAAATGTCTCATCATAGGGTATAATGAACTGATTGTATGGACAGGAGGACATTACTTAACAGACTGACATGCCAAAAGAAATATTATGCCCTATGTACCCCCAACAAATAAACTTTGTTTGGCTATACAGAAAAGTTAAATCCAAGGAAAATACCTAATTTAGCATATACACAAACTTAAACAGAAATGTACACTCTCATAAGTTTATATTTCAACACATGGAAAATTATAAATCATCAATAGAGAGAATATAATAGTGAAAGTGCAAAAGATAAAGAGAATAGATAGTAGATAGTCAGAAATTGGATACAAAAGGCTAGAAAAACAAGGATGAGAGAAAGTTAGGGAAATAAATTAAGAGATAAAATAACATTAAAAAGAAAGAGTTCAAAATCTTACTTTGATGAAACCCATAGTAAAATAATGCAAGAGATGGTCCCATTTTGAAAATTTAAACACTGACAAATGCCCAAAGTCATGTTGTATCCATCCAGTTTGAGCCTGTAAAAAAGCAACATTAAAACAAAAAAAAAAAATGAAAAATCAAATCAAACAGAATACAAAATTATAAAATTGTAAAGTTCTCAGTCCAACCCACTTCCCAAAATCTGAGAATGATCAAACCTGAAATTTTTTTTTTCTTGGTTGGGCTAAGAGACAGAAGCACATGCTTATGGAGACACTGAAGAACTGAACTACCTCCTATTTTTACTCAATGTTATTGATGACATTCAATATAATGAGTGTTTTTTTTCTTTACACTTGTACATTATATAATTCTTAAGCCATCCCATCATTTATGTAAACTTACAAAAATCTTTGTATGGAACTGTGTGCTTCACAGTTCTAGTAATGTGGTGTTTGGCTGTTGTGTGCATGCACACATGTCTAAGGAAAGAAACTGAACACTTGTTAGAGTATTGTTGCTTAATAGTGCTTACTCTGTTGTGCAAGTGTAAGGTAGTGTTTATTTTTGACTCAGCATGTGTTGTGCTTAAAAACCATGTACCATATTCTTGGATGTGATAAACTCATGCTTCCAGCTATTCTATTTAATTCAATGTTTTTTTTTTTCAGTTGCTTTATTGTGTAGAAAATTTTAATTTAACCATGACCTCTTTGAATCCCAAAGAAATGACTTCTGTGACAGCTTAAGTTTTCACAGTTGTCTCTCAGTGAGAATGCTACAGTTAAGAAAAGAGGCTGTTTTATTCAAATATCTCAGCCAGAAATAAGCAACAACAATTCATAGCTTTAATTCTGAATGGTACCAACGGAAAAGTTGGCTCTGTGGCTGCAAAGTGAAAAATGCATTCTTTTGCTTCTCGTGTTTGTTGTTTGGAGGTGATGTAATATGGATAAAAGACAGTTTTTAGAAATAGAAACAAAATGAAAAAAAAACTGAAAAATATGAGAAGTCAAAGAAGCATATTAAAATTGTGGTTTCACTGTTACTTTAGAAAATGTAAATATTAAAGAGAAACTTAAGTGAGGCACACAGACTTACAATCAATGAGCATTTTTTACCATGAATTGTGTGCTATTATCTGACACAATCATATCTGGGATACTAAATCTGGCAAAGATCTCATTCAAAAATTTAATTGTAGCACTGCACATAGGGTTTTTACATTTCATCACCTTTGGCTCTTTCAAAAAAATGTCAACCACAATTAAATAATATTGTCTCTTTATTGGACCTGCAAAAACTATTGTCGTCTTTGGTCAAGGGGTAAACCCTTACCAGTGGTACCGTTGCCGTCATCACACAGCCTCTGTATGATTTTATATTTTTCACTATTTCTTTGTCCATATTTGGCCAAAAAAAAAAAACATAGCTCTTCTCGTTAAAGCTTTTATCCTCAATAAACCAGCATGACCAGTATGGAAGTCTTTTAATTTTCTTTTTTGCAGCACTCCTGTATCAGCACCCGTTCACCATACATCAAAATTCCATCAGAGGTAGAAAAAAATCTCTTCACCATCATTCTTTTTGTACTATTGGTCCATAATTTGTTTCTTTTTCTCTGTGATATATTTTATCTACTATTTTTGCTTTGTTACTGATCTTCTCAATTATCACAGGTAATTCCTATATGGTGTTGTATAGCATGCTTTTTATTTCCATTTCTATTGTTAGGGCTGCTATCATTTTCCTCCAATGGCTCACATAATTTAGGGATTAACCAGGATAACTCATTCGTATGCACTAATCTTTGATTGAAGGATCTTAAAATTCTAATTTAATAATATTGTTTCCCATCTCTGAAGTCAATGTGCAGTATGTGTAGGAATCCCTTTTGTGGAATCAAAAAAAATTATCCCTAAAGCCTCTTTTTCGATTTGGCTGTACCCTTTTTGATACATTTGTTGGGGGAAGGCATGTTCTTTATCGCACTCGACCTCAATGGTTTGATTTTCTGCTCTTCACATCTATGACCTGTTCCAAGTACTTAATTTTAGATAAAAAAAATTTACATTTATGCAAGTTTCAAGCCATATTGTTTTATTTTTTCAAAAAATTCTTTAACATGTTCGGGATGTTGTGCTCAACTTACATTCTTAATTAAGATGTTGTCAATGTCATTCCATAGTGTATAAATGATTTACTGGAAAATGCCTGGTGTGACCTTTATCCTGAATGGCAGTCTGTTGAATCTATACAGACCCTTCTCAGACAAATCAAGTTTTGAAAACTTGGCAGAGGGTAATAATGTTTCCAAACAATCATTCAATCCTGTAGAAAAATCTACACAGACACTAATTTTATTCTTTTTCACATAAATGGTAGGGATTGCCCACTTACTGTAGTCCATTTTGCACAACATGCCTATTTGCTCCAAGTGATCTAATTCTTTACTAATGGAGGTTTTGACTGCAAAAGATACTTTTCTTTTCTGCCAAAAAAATAGGTGTCACATTCTCTTTAAGTTTGAATGTCACTTTAGCTTTTGTGCACCTTCCAAGATCCTCAGAAAAAAATTTAAGGGAAATTTATCTAATTCTTTTTTTAATTATTCCACTCTGTTTGAATTAACACTGACACTATAGCAGAACAAAGTAATTGGTTGAATGAAAAGGGCAAATGACTCAATCAGCTATTCACAACAGTTTTCAAAGGTATTTCTAAGACCATTCAGAATATGATATTTGACAGCCTGCTACAAATATACCATGAAGAGATAAAGACAGAAATTAGGGAAGATTCATTTGTAGCCATCATGGCTGTTGACATAACAGATATTTCAGAGCACACTGAAATGGTCATTGTTCTACGGTATGTATTGAATGAAAAATATTTGAATGTTTTTGAGGATTCTTTATTTCAGAAAATCAAACTGCAGATGGCATATCAAATCATATTCAAGAACAATTAGAGATAATCCTTCAAAGAAATGAACAAAAATTAAATTGATAGCTCAAACATTTCATGCTGCAAATGTCATGAAAAGCAAAAAAGGAGGAGATCAAGTTAAAATAAAAGCAGTTTATAGTAGTGCACATTTCATTCACTGTTAGGCACATCAACTTAATTTAATAAGGAGAAATGCAGTAAGTAAAACACAGAATGCAAGAATATTTTTCTTTAGCATTTTGGCTATTCCAACATTCTTCTCAAGACAACCACAACACGTATCCATTCTCATAGAAGCATATGGACATCTGCATTCAATTTCCATCCTCTACAAGGTGGAACTTTTAACATACAGACCTTGAATGTGATGAAAATTTGCAACCTTTAAAAAGCTGCCTTACTGAAATTCAGTCAACATCAAATGCAGATGAAACCATTGCAGAAACAACAGGAATTTTACAATATCTGAATGATGATAATTTCATATTTTGGTTAGAGCTTTTTCATCAGATTATGCTTCATATTGAAGTAATTTACAACCAAATGCAATCTTGAGAAATTAGTGTGCTTAAAATCAATGAACATAACAGATTTCAAAACTGCTATTTTGGAAATAAGAAACTCAAAGTACTGTGAGAATCCTTCAGACACACATGGCAAAAGCAAAGGAAGGGCATAACTGCATGTATTGATATAATGGACAGATATTCTTCCAGTGTACATTTAGTTGCTACTAAATTGTTCAACAAGAAAAGATTCACTAATTTTAAGAATCAACTGTCTACAGAAGAGACAGTATTGACCACAGAAGCATATCCCATGATTGACAAAATCTTGAAACTGAACTAGAAGTATTCTATTGTAGATCAGATATGCATGAATATTGCAAATGAATTAAGTTGCTGAAATTTATCTTGGAAAATAATCTGGATGGTGTTCTTAGTGAAATTACAAAATTGATAAAAATCCTCTTGACAATTCCTATGACATCAGAGCCAGAATGTTGTTTTCAACACTGTAAAGAATAAAAACTTTTCTAAGGTGTTCTATGAATCATTAAAGATTAACTGCACTTGCAGTGCTTTCAATGGAGAAAAATTTCATCAACAGTCATCCAGGAGTAAAGGAGAAAATTTATTAACTTTTTCATTGAAAGTAAAACAAGAATGGATTTAATTTTTAATTGAATAGATCAAGTTTGAACTGTAAGAATTTATAAGTAAAAAATAATTTTTCCCTATAGGATTTTATCAAATTTATATATAAATTTTCTTTCTATGTGTTTTTTGTTTTACACAATATTAAAACAATAGTTTTCAGAAGTAACACACCCAGTAATTTTAGCCATGAGCCACCACTGAGCACAAGTTATTCCATTAATATTGCTTGTTCATGGTGATTCTTGATTGTTTACCCAAACATGAACAAAAAGCAATATATAAAAGAATTCTTTCCTTTGAAAGAAATTTAGTGTAAAATAAACAAAGTTAAAAAGTGGGAACAAAAGAATTAGCAATAATTATTCCTACAGCAACATTAGGAGGATGACAAAACTTTAAACGGTCATAAATGACATCTTTCCACAAATACTGAAATAAAATAATTCCACTTACTTGCACAATTGAGTATAGCATAACAGATACAGTGTAGGGCATCCATCCTGTCCCAAAGTATCTGAAGGTGAGATATGCTAAGGCTTCAAGCAAAAGAACATGAAAAAGGTTCAAGAAGAAGAAGCAATAGCTTGGTTCAAATAATCCCTGAAAAATAACAGAATTATGGTTGAAATTAAATCATTTCAAAGTGTTCCAATCAATTATAAAAGGAGAAAATAGTTAAACCAATAAATGAAACACTGTAATCATTCATTATTGGACTTTAAACCAGGTTGTTTCTACTACCTAATCATTACGTTAATTTTTTTTTTAACTGACAAAACTTTTCTTGGATGTTTGTGTATATTATAGATACCAATCTCAAAAAAGGAAATATGTTTTGTCAAACTCAAAAAAATTTTGTTTTGTTTCTTTTTATAGTGTTCACCCAGGTTTTGAATGCAGAGGCTGAAAAGTGGACCTTTCTAGAAAGGTCAAGATATTCACGAAAAAAAAAAAAAAAAAATTAAAATTATGAATTAAACAAATAAGATATATAATTTATTAATTCCTCAGGTTATATTTTCTTAATTTTTATAGCAACAACGGCATTTAAAAAAATAAGCCATTCAAAAAGAAAAAACAAAAAATCCAAAATGCATTCAGAATTCAAGAGAGATGCAGTGGTTATGGAAAATAATGATTTGCAATTTGATTTCAATATATAGTCTGTATTTAAAAAGCAAAAACAATTTAAAGGAGGCTTAAATACATGGAAACGCAAGAAATGACTTAGCTGACAGTTGTGAAAGACTACCAAGTGCAGTGAATAGACTGGTAGTCTGTTTCAATACATGAAGCATTACATGGTTTGAGATTACATGGTTAAATTACTATACATTGGGAAATACTTGTAACGTCCTGAACAGATGCATAACAACACTAACACTTAAATAACACTTCATAACAACATAGAAAAAAATGACACTGGATTGTCCATAAACACACAATGCTTCTGTTGCCAAATGCTTAATAGTGCATGATGATACAGTCAGTCAGTTACCATGTATGATATACACTTAGGCAATCATGTATCTTTCGATACATGACTGATGAGGCAGATTTTTTGTCCTGCAGTAGGTTGCCATTTCTTTCTGTGGTAGACCAATTGCCATCCAAAGGCTATAGAACCCAGTCTGTCCTGCTATTTTACCCATATCTGGGGGAAAAGGAGAGGATTCATACCTTTCTCAAGGGCATTAGCACATAAGTGAATGCAATTCGAACTTGGCTTCTTCAAATCAAGCCACTATCCATTATTCCACCATGCCTCCTATGATGATACACTGTTCAAAAATGAAGTATCCTTGTCAACATTTATGCAATTTCTAATTGAGACTAATAAATCAATCATAGGGAATCACTGTCAAGATAACTGTCACTATATAGAAGGAAGGTGGTAGATGTATTTATAATTCATTGTGCATCATAGCTTAAAATATTTCATTAGGGACAAATTGTGTTCAGTTTTCAGCAAAACTGTGCATACAGTAGACTTAGGTCATTTTGGAACTATAGAAATAGACCAAAGAAATAACAAAAATAAGCAAATGAAAAAAGTAAAGCTACATATGAGATTTTGAATATATTCTTGTATTGTGAATTGAAGCTGCTTTAACCAACAAGTGTTCAATTTTAATTACTTGGTTGGTAAATTAAAAAACAGTAGATACTATAGTGATTACAGTTTCTAAAGAAAACAATATCAAGTGAGGCTATGAGTAAAAGTTGGAAAAAACATGAAGGGTCAACAGATGTGAAAGTAATGGTTGAAGGTGCAATTGGGTAGTATAAAAAATTTTTTTTTGTTGTTAGAATTAAAAATGTTACTTTTAACTGAATCTGTCTGAGATTAGTTAATAGAAAGTATGTATTGGGTTGTCTGGAAAGTTCATGCTGATTTTTAAAAGAAATTAAAACACAAAAACAAAATTATGCCATTAAATATATATTCAATTAAATATGAACCATTTTGTTGCACAACCTTTTTCCATTTTTCCTTCAACTTAAAGATTCCATCTTCTCAAGCATTTTCATGGTTTCTCGGCAAAGAACTCATTAAGGTGATTTTTTTATGTCATTCAAAGAATTAAAATTTTTAACATTGAGGTTATTTTGCAAGAAGAACCTGAATAAATGAAAATCCAAAGGAGCAATGTCTGATAAATATGGCGGGTGGGGTAACACATCCCAACCAAACTGCAACAATTTTTATCAGGTTACCAAAGAAACATTATCCTGATGGAAAACAACAGCTTTCCTGTTTGCCAATTCTGGAAGCAGTACTTTTCAGAATCATTTGACTGGTTACTTGGCAAAAGCTCATAGTACAGGATTTCTTTCAAATCCAACCAGATGCACAGCATGATTTTCTTAGGATGAAGACCTGTTTTTGAGGTGGCTAAATTTGGCTCATGTCACTTACCCCAGGATCTTTTTCACTGAACATTGTCATAAACAATCCATTTCTCATCATCTGTCACAATTTGCTTCAAAAGGGTGCATTTTCATTGCATTTATACAGCAAATGACAGATGAAATATGATCCAAAAGATTCTTTTCACTCAGATCATGTGGTACCCAAACATTGTTACAATTTGATTACCCAAGCTTTACTAAGTGCTCTTGGATGGTGGATTTTGTTAAATTTAGTCTTTCTGCCAAGAGGGGGGTGTCTGCCTGAGTGTTCTTCGCCAATAAGGCTACAATTACCAACTGTAAACTTAGTGAACTACATCTGTATAGTTCTGTCAACTAAAACACCTTCACTGTACACAGCACATATCTTTTTTGTTGCTTGCAAAACATTTTTGGCTTTTTTTAAAGAAAAAAAATAAAGAAAAAAAATAAAGAAAAAAAATAAAGAAAAAGCATCAAGTGTCTAAAATGCACCTTATAATCTTCCATTTTCTTAGGGATACGAAACTGACATAAATTAAGTAATTTTAAACTTACTTTCTTAAGAGATGGCTTGAAGTATTCTCTTATCAGAAATGCAAGTATATTATATCTGTCATGTTCTAATGTGTTGGAACATGAACTTTCCAGACAACCCAATAATATACTGTCATTATGCTGCATGGTTTTTTGACAATCAGGCAAAAATTGTTACTTTGGCTAGCAAGTTTTTACTCATTCACCATATTCCACAAAGGTGGAAATGAAAAAAAAAATTTTTTTTTTTTTAACTACAAAAGACACATAGCAGTTCTGTTCAATGAAGTTAAATGTTGAAAACAAAAAAATTGCCTTATTTTTTGCTTAAACAATTTTGGGGGCCAACTAATAATTTCCACATCAAGTTTGAGTTAGTATCTACTTCACTTTTTAAATATGTGAAGTCCTGATAAGTAAACAATTCAAATATATACAGGATGCAATGAATAAATTGTCATCTAAATTATGAAAAAATGAAAATAACGCTAATATCACATTTTAACAGATATATTTACTAAAATTACACAAAAATATCTTGAAACACTAAAGAGTAAAGTTCATAAAATTGCCATTGACTTCAACCATAGCCTCCAGACAACTTCAGAATCTCCTGCAACTTTTCTGGACAGTCTCCTTTTTAAGTTGCCGAATGCTGCCATAATCCTTGGTGTTACAAAGAACTTTGTTGGTCTCTCACTCAACTGCGCCCCACCCATAATAATCAACGGAATTGCAGTCTGTGGAGTTAGGTAGCCATATATAAGGGTTGATGTGGCCACAGAAATTGTCTGACAGCCATGTCTGAGTTCTCTTGCTTGTGTGGCATGATGTAGAGTCCTGTTGCCAGACATAGGGTCTCCCAGCAGCCACTCTCTTGACCCAGGGCTGCACTACCTCTTCAAGGCACCTGATGTAGGCATCCGTGTTGAGTGTGAGGCCCTGTAGGAAGATGAATTGATGCATAATATTGCCATCATTAGTGATCACTCCAAAAACCATGATGTTGACTAGATAAATCATCCAACTCTTCCCAAATCCTCTGTACTATCCTCGAATTGACACCCAACCACTCTGAAATGTTCATATTGGAGCTTCTGGTGCAAATGCCAAGCAGTACAGCATGCAGTTTCCAAATTTCTGGCAGAATGAATTGGATCAGGGTGCTCTTTTTCTCACAGAAAATGCCCAACTGACCTACTGTGCAGTTGAAAAATCAAAAACAATGCGCATGTGCAGAATTAAAAATATAAAATAGCAACAATTTACCCATCACACCCTGTATTAGAAACCTCCAGGATCTATTTGGGTAACAAGCATATAATTGAAATCTTCATGCAATTTCATACAATTGAAATATTTCAACTTACAAAGTTTGATGCTATTATATCACTAGGATGCTCCAAGTTAGTTGTATTGTTATTTCAACCTCTAAACCTTGCCCGACCCTAAGGTCAGGTGCATTCAGCAATGTGTGTAGCCACAATTTTAAATCAATTTTCCTAGTCTGGTACTATAAACTTGACTGATAAAGAGAATTTTTTTTATCAAAACTGACCATACATAACATTCACTTAAATTTACTATGAATTAATAATATATCAACTTTAAGCATTAGTTTTTCAATATAAACTCAGCTCATCTTTGGCCCAGGCTTTCCTCACAAGTGAAGATCAATTATTCTATTAAAAATTAAAATACAATCAGTGTACAATAATAGTAATTCTTCATCCCAAAAATTTTGACAAAAATTAAAGTTTGTTGCTAAATAATTTCCCCTACCACTCTCACAAAAATACTCCTTTATATCTTGTGGCTGTAGACTAAAATCAAACAAATACTTACTTTAGTTGTTTACCAATTTTAATATATAAAGAGATACACTTGAGAAAAAATAGGCCATGTAATAATTGCAGTAGCATCCTTTGCTTTTGGTATTAATATTCACTAATCATTTTCAGAATATTCAAACAAAAATACAAATATTTAATTTTAATTTCCCATTTACATAAAATCTCAGTAGCATATTTATTCTTTCAATCACTTAACTTTATTTACCAGTACCATACAAAACTGATGATCAAAAGAAATGTCTGAGATTTTATCCTTAAATCTTTTCAATTAAGATACATTTATAGTGCATCTGTATCAACAAACAGATACTAAAATTC